AGTAGAGAGAGAAGAGAGAGAGAGAGAGAAATTGAAAAAAAATGAAGAAGGAAATAGCATAGAGGTAAACATCTATAAAACTTCTATTTTATAGATTACTTCGATTTTGCTTAATAATCAATGGTCACGGAAGACTTATTTATAATTGTACTACCTTCCATGATTCCGATTTCTCCTAGGAGGTCAGATAATTGGTAAGGATATCGTGCTTATTTCTCCGCAAACTTAAGAAGCCATGTATGTACGAAAAGAAAAATGAAGAGAAGCAAAAAAGCAAATGACTGATGCACGCTACAGGATGGAATCTAAGTGACCATTTCCGCTTTGATTCGTGTGTCATTGATTTTTCCTTACCCATTATGTTCCTACATTTGATTATTTTTTTATTTACTATGATTTATATTTCTTTATTTTCTTTATTCATTATGTTTCTATATTTGATTTGTTTCTTTATTTACTATGATTTATATGCACGCGAAACAGAATTAACATTATCTCATAGTAAAAATGATAGTGCTTTAATTGTTTAAGCTAACAAAATGATATTATCAATTAAGCCAATAGATAAAGCAGATATTACCGATAACAGTTTATTGAATCAATAAAATACAATTTCTTGAAATTTCTGTTATTTTGTATTATGTGTTATAGTAAAAAGCTAAAAGAGAAAAATTTGATTTAAACAGAGCATTAAATAACGAGAAAGTAAAATTTAATCCAGTAAATATGAAAAACAATTAATTTGTTTCTGTTTGTTAATATAATTGCTGTCTTACGAGTATCCGCAAAGATTTACTCATTGACTGTACGTCTATTCTACATAGTTATTCAACCATTACAACACCGTAACTATTAGACCAACACGGTATAAGTGTCACGAGCCGTTAAACGGTAAACGTTTAAAATATATCATTACTGTCATCTAGTCTATATACAACATAAATGGATACTAAGACAAGTATATTACAACATCGTCATCTCCATTCTCTTTAACATAAAAAAATATTTCTATTTACATTCAATTAAAGAAAAAAAAATGCTTAAGAAAAAAAATCACATTAATGCGTTTGTTTTAAATTAATTACTTCCTTATATACATGTAAACCAAAATAAATCAACTGTTAAGTTTCTTTACCATATTTTTTTAATTTTTTTTAAGTTAATTCTTAAAAAATAATCAATTGCACATGAAAATTCTTCCTTTATTATGAAGTTTATATAATAATAGTTAATAATAATAATTCAATCAAAGATGTCTTCGCGATATCATTGACGATTGAGAGTTTTCTCCTTTGTACAATGAGACGAAGGATATTTCTTTCTCGAAATCCACTTCTCTCATAAGTTCACCGAGAGAGCGCGGCGAAAGGGCACGACGGCGTAATGGACACAGCATTCTTTCTCTCGCGAGTGGCTCATGGCTCACGGCGATAATATTTACGATCCAGGCAGTTTGTCACTAAATCATTATGTGGGTCTACCCTTTCGGGTATGTCCCGTGCACGCACAATCCGATGTCCTTCGCCACTGGGTCCAGCACTCCGCCTCCTCTCCTCGCATCCCCAGCTACCTACACCGTTCCTTCTCCACCTTGGAAACTGCACGCAACCCTACCGTCTCTCTTTCCTTTTCCTCCTCCCGTTCGCCCCTCTGTATGCTCTTTCCTCGCAGATACGTGTTCCATGGGCCCGGTAGCGATTCGTCCACGGTCACTCGTGCGGTAAATCAGACCACGCTGACGTTTAATGCCGGCAAATTACACGCGAAATAAATGCCCGCGAAGAGAAGTGCGCGGCGAGCGCAGTGCTCGAAACAGAAACACAAAGAGAGCACGGGATAAAGAACGAGAGACGAATGGAGACTACCTATGCTTCTTCTGCACGATCGTTATATCCCGTTTAATCTTTATCTTTCCGCCAATTAACAATTCGTTCGTCTCTTAAGACTTTCTTCCTTATCCTTAACTATTTCTTGTATATCATCCGGCCAACGAGCATTCATTAGCGATATCTTCTGTCTCTCTCCGATTTATTCGTCTAAACATTGCCAAAGCATTATCTATCTAACAAAATATAAATTTAATACAGATAACAGTATGTTGCGTAGATGCATTTTTAAAAAATTAATAACATAAAAAATGATTTAAATTTGTCACTAACTTGATAAATTAAGATAAGCCTAATATATGTTACAAAGAATTTAAAAGAAATACAATATAGGAAGACAAGAATAATTGCAATGTTCAATTAAAAATAATGAATAAGCGATTTATCAAAAATAGATAAAAATGTATTAAAAATAAGCTTCCGCAAGGAAATTGCAGGAAATAAATAAAACATTTCACGTTTATGAGCAACTTCGCAAGTAGCCTTAGCTTTGGAGTATGGAATACCCTTTGAAATGGCTTGCTGATGAGCCAGGTATTAATGATTTCATGCCCATGCCAGAACTGCTCGCTGACCCGCGCTTGTTACGCGTTGCGAGCACGGCCGGCCGCAAATTATAGATCGTTCAATTTGCAGTAAATCTATAAGACGATTCTCGCAAGACGCTGAAGGTGCCGAGTTGCCAACTTCTCTTCCGCATCGCCGTACCTCGAAGATATTATATATGTTTGTGTTGTCTTTAAATGTCTTCAAAACTGCGATCTGAGAATAATGCACAAAGTGCTGCATAACATTTATATTTCACAATTGTCAAACTTTAATTAGCATCTCTTTATTACTAAATTGATGTATAACGAGTTTCTCCCCTGAGAACATAAGTCAACAGCTCTTCGCTTTTGTTTCCAATTCTTATCAGTGATTTTTCATTTTCATAAATAGATATTATTGAGGCATAACAATAAAGACTCAGATATTACACGTTTTTCAGGCTTTGATCCACTTGCATGAGCACAACGTAATCCACAGAGACATTCGTGGTAGCAACATCGTGCTGACGAAGGAAGGCGAAGTGAAACTGGTAGACTTTGGACTCTCCCGAATGATGAAGAACGAACTCGAAAAAAGACACACTTACATAGGTTCGCCATCCTGGATGGCGCCGGAAGTAATTGGTAATAAAGACAGCGGAATCAATAGTGGATATGATAATCGCGTCGACGTATGGGCAATCGGCATCACGGCGATAGAATTAGCTGATGGCAAGGCACCATTCGAGGATATGCATCCGACCCGTGCGCTCTTCCAGATCATCCGAAATCCACCGCCAACTCTGTATCGACCTGCCAATTGGTCGAAGAATCTCAATGACTTTATTTCGGAGTATGCGATCAGATAGACATCAAAATTCCTTTATTACAAACATCGCGAACAAAATAAAGCAATAGCTACAATAACGCATTCGTTTCAGATGCCTTGAAAAAAATCCTGAGAACAGGCCATACATAATGGAGATCATCGAGCACCCCTTTCTATCAGAATTGCCTGAAAATGATTATCCTGTAATATATGATTTCAATACCAAAAGAAATATATTACACAGCACATAATTATAAACTGATCGTGATAAGCCACAAAACTTCTAGAATATCATAAATACTTGTTTTTCATTTTTTAAGACTCGATCGATCAATTATTAATGGCAATAAAAATTGTAATGCTGAACAAAATTTTATTTTTTATTAAGAATGATAAGATTACTATCTTTTAAAATATTTTTTTAATTTTGAATTTTTATATAGCATTTTAGAAAAATACATATCTTCGATCTGTGTCTTTTAGTTTTAGGATCTACAAATATTTTAATTCATAGATGTAAAGTGCTATGAAAAACAAAAATTAAATAAACATAATAAATTTTTAGTTGACGCAAGAAATCAAAGCGCTAACAATGGATCTCTCGGAGAAAGGCAGAAAACAAAGAAAAGCGGAATCGATAGTTCGTAAAGGTTTTTTAAAGGTAATGACTTGCAACAAATCAAAACTTAATTAAAATGACTAGTATTTGTAATATATTAAAAAAAAATCTTAACTGAACAGACTCATCAAAATGAACCACCGGAACAAATGCTCACAGAGGATTTGGCAGCATTAGATATTCTGACCGAGGACATAATCTTGAATGAACTTCACGAGAGACTGCGACGAGGTGAATATCACACATTCGTCGGCGACGTTTTGCTAATACTTAATCCGAACGAAGAGCATGATATTTATGGTATTCACGTAAGTCTTATGCTAAATCATTAATTTTCTACACTCGGCAAATAATTTTCACAACTTTAATCATTAATAAAAATACCGTTGTACTTATTTCTTTTGAAAATCAATACTAAAACTTTCATTCATATTACTTTTATTTTCAATTTATAATCTCACATGTGTATTGATTGTGTATATGAGAAATATAATCGAGATTCATTTGATAGTATGTATATTTAATAATTTAAAATTTAATAATAAGCTCTATCATTATGAATCGTTTAACCAAAATTATTTTATTTGAAGCACCACGCAAAATATCAATGCAAATCGCGATCGGATAATGCTCCTCATATCTATTCTGTGGCGGATAGCGCATTTCAAGATGTTATGCTTAACGAGGAATCGCAGCACATTTTGTTAACCGGTGAGAGTAACTCTGGGAAAACGACAAACATGTTACATTTAGTGGAGCATCTTATGTTCCTCGGAAAAGTGAGCATAATACAGTTATGTATATGTAAATATGAGTAGAGAAACTTGTTTATGTCTTTATTTTTAGGGTTTGCACGATACTGGAGCGAGAGTACTACGAGCTCTAAAAATTATCCATGCCTTTACTAGTGCAGCGACACCGCTAAATTCTAATTCCACCAGATGCATTTTACAAACACAGACGACTTTTGGATCAACGGGTAAAGCATCCGGTGCGATATTCTGGTTATATCAATTGGAAAAATGGCGTGTTTCGACTCGCGATAGGTAATTTATTTATTAATTAAATTGATCTTTTTAATGACGTAATGTATTAAGCAAGCTTTAAAAATTTTAATATAAAATTTATAATATGTATATAATATGTATATTATAATGTATATTATAATGTAAGTTTTATAATGTATATAATATGTATATTATATAATATGTATATGTATATTTATAATGTTATAGTTTATAAAGTATATAGTAAATTAAAGTATTAAAAATACCGAAGAATATATCGCACTTTGTACTCCAATGTATAACGGGTTATCATTATACAGGCATATGTGTGCAAAGCTGACCTATCACTTTATGAAAATTCATTAATCATCGAGAATTCCAATTTCATTTTTAATAATTCTTTAGTTCTGTAGATTAGACAAATAATTAAATTCAAATAGTTCAAATAATTATATTATAATAATTTATGTACTGACATAACAGAAGAAAGTATGTTTTTTAGAAATCAATCAAACTTCCATGTTTTTTATTACTTCTACGACGGTCTCGAAGCATCAGAAAATTTAAAACAGTATTTCTTACCAAGTGGAAGAAAACTTCGATATCTTCGAATAATTGATAAGGGCACTGAAAAGAAACGCGCGTTCAAAGTGAGAAACGATCCGCAGAACAACGCGGTTAAACTCGAGGAACTTAAAGAAAGTTTTAAATTTATGGATATGGAGGAGCACTGCGAAACTATTTGGAAAATTCTCGCGGCCATTCTCATACTTGGAGAGATTCGATTTACTGAGGGTAACAATGGAGAAGCTGACTTGGACAACAATGAAATTGCTAATAGAGGTAAAAATTGGAATTTGAACGATCAAGACATCAATTCATGAGAGATTTGGATGTATTAAAGCGCGAGTTAAATCTGCAGGATATAAAAACTCATTAGTTGTTTCGAATTGCAGTGGCAAAGCTTCTTGGCTTAGACTCAAAAAAATTTATTTGGGCTCTCGTTAATTATTGTTTAATTGTGAAAGGATCGGCGATACGTAAGAAGCATACTTGCGAAGAAGCGAGAGAGGCACGAGATGTCTTGGCGAATATTCTTTATCAGCGTTTAGTAGATTGGATAATCAATATTATCAACTATAAACTTTCAATGACTCGCAGTCTTTAGTAAGTTATGTAGAAACTTCATAAAAATATATAACCGAAAAGAATATAAAATTGCTAAATACTTTGTATCAATAATTTTTTCTTATTTTCTACTTTAATTTTCAGTGGTGACAAGCATTCTATCAGCATTCTTGATCACTTTGGATTTGAGTGTTTCTCAATAAATAAATTAGAACAACTATTAGTGAATACAGTAAACGAGCAAATGCAATATTATTATAATCAAAGAGTATTTGCCTGGGAAATGGTAAATTTCTTATGAATAATTTCTTAAAAACAAATTACAAATTATATCATAACAAATTTTTAATATTCTGCACCAGATTTTTTGTTTTTCTTATATTTAATTTTCTTATATAAAAAAATTTTAAAAAGATATTTTATTCTACTTTTAATTAATATAGTACATTGTTAAAATTATATCTCATTATAATTTTAAATTAGATAATATTTGTGAACGCTATTGAATATATCCCATTATATTACAACTTTATTCAATTTATTCTTTTTAGAGTTAATTAAGCTACAGTCATAAAACTTGTCTACATGATTGTATCTCAAATCAGTAATAGATTAACAAAATTTATTAATTATAGTAGTAGTAAATTATAGTAATAAATTAAAGAATTAATATTAAATATTCTTTCATGTTTTCAGCAAGAACAAGAAGAGGAAGATATACCCATACGACGATTTCACTTTTACGATAATAAGGAAGCGATTGATCAACTAATGAACAAAGAAGATGGCCTCTTTCGCATCATCGACGATGCTTCGCGGCAACTGCAGGACGCTCAGTACATTCTCGAAAGGATTAAAGAACATAAACGTGGCATTTACTTGAAACCGGTGAGTTCGCATGAATTCACCGTCGCACATTATACCGGCAGACTGATATACGACGCCAGTGAAATCGCCATAAAAAATCGAGACTTTGTGCCGCCGGAGATGATCGGTACGATGAGATTCTCGTCACACGACGCAGTGAAGCAAATGTTCACCAACAAACTGACCAAGGCGGGGAGCCTGACAATTGTTCTCGACAATTGTCTCGCGGCGAAGAAAACGTCGAAAACGAAATGGAGTGCTCTCATGCAGGAATCATCCAAATTTCGAGTGAGTGAAATAATTGTATTTAAATAGATATTTTTTTTATTATATCAAGATATATATATTTTAACTTCAGCGTTAAATCTTTACTTGATCAATTCAAAATAAATTTCCTTTATTCCGTTAAGAAGTTTGAAAATTAGAAATATTTAAAGAATTTTTTTATAAAAATTTACCTCATTTAAAAATCTTCCGGTATGGAAGACAACAAACAAAATCTTCTTTTTTAAATTCAATAGAAATACAACAGCGCGTCCAGAGGTCAATACTCGCAGACACGCAAGATGCGGACGTGTGCGTCGACATTCAGAGCGGCCAGTCTCGAAATTCTGAAAAATCTCGCGGTAGGCGCGGGAAACGGCGGCACACATTTCGTCAGATGCATACGCTCCGATCTCGAGAATGCTCCTCGCAGCTTTTATCGAGAAGTTGTCAAACAACAAATCAGAGCGCTAGCAGTTCTCGATACAGCAAAAGCCAGGCAACGCGGTTATCCATACAGAATACCCTTTCAAGAATTTCTTCGGAGGTAACGCAGCTACCTTACAAAAGTAATACAAAAGTAATATTTCCGATTAAACACAATAATTTTACGTGCTCATTGAACTAGAAAGCTAAGTACGTGTTCCCGTAGTGTGAAACGCGCACGGACAATTGTTTCTAATTACAGATATAAGTTTCTAGCCTTCGATTTTGACGAAACGGTAGAGATGACAAAAGATAACTGCAGACTACTTCTAATCAGATTAAAAATGGAAGGCTGGATTATCGGCAAAACCAAGGTTTTCTTGAAGTACTATAATGAGGAATATCTGTCGCGCTTATACGAGACTCAAGTGAGAAAAATTATAAAGGTGCAATGCATGATGCGTGCCTTTTTAGCGCGAAAAAATATCGCTTCGAAGATTAAGGATATTAAAAAGGATATTGGTAAGTAAATTCTCGATCGAGCCAATTGCAAAATGCAATTTTAATATTTACATGTTAATAAGTGATTATACTTTCGATTCAAATGTTCTTGCAAATTTTTAAATATTTCGATCGATGTAATGTGCATTGTTTCAGTGAAGAAGGCGTCTATCAAAAAGGATTCATTTACTGAAGAACAGGCGGCATTGATAATACAAAAAAGTAGATGTTAAAAAATAAAAAAGTAACATTTAAAAGTAACATTTAAGCTAGTTATTTTATAAGAATTTATATAAGTCACTTGTATTTTATTATTATATTTTTTATTATTATATTATTTTTTTATTATTATTTTATTATATTTTATTATTATATTTTTTTTTATCAGCGTACAGAGGACATATAGTAAGAAAAGAAATGGGGCTCAAGGGAGAGATGAGTGAAGAAACAAAGGATTTTATCAAATTCTACTGCAGCAGATGGAGATCGAAAAGCATGTTCCAAGTCCTCCTACGGTACCGTGCAGCTCGGTATCAAGATTTCGTGCAATTATCGCAACAGGTATTACCTATGTTTTTCATAAGTTTACTTATTATTTCTTCTAATATGAAAAAATAGTGTATTAAATATTAAAGTATTAAAAATTCCAAACAATTTTTACAAAAAAGCATTCAGAAAACAGATACAATTGATTAAAGATATTAAATTTCTTAATTTCTATCATGCATGAAATAAAGTAATGTAAAAATTTTTATTAAAGCCATAATCAAATTTTCTAAATAAATATGTAATAGGTTCATCTATACAATCAATCAATAGTGGGAGTTTTGAAGAAATTAAATAAAAATATGTCTCTTGAAAAAGTAGATCCAAATGCCAACATAGATGCCTATATAAGTGAGGTGAGACCACCTCAAGTTTACAAACTGCCTTTCAATATGCAACAAGAACTTTCGTATTTTGATACAAATTACATGAACGATCCTTCGAATGCAAATATTAAACGTGCAGGGTAAGCCATCCAAAATACTTCTTAAATTTCAATTTACTATATTTATGATAATAATTTAAATACTTTGGTAATTTAAAAATGAAATAACATTTTCACACAGATCCGTATCTTCTACGTTAAGTGATGATGAGCATGAGTCTTGGGATGCACCGTTACGTAGACAAACCGTGCCCTGGGCCAACAAAAATATTCATACCAGAGGTACCTGAATTCGCTAATAAAAATTTTAAAGTTTTAAGAACTAGTTCAATAGTTATATTATTTGTCATGTAAAACGTCACTCGGTAAAAAATTTTCCATACTTAATAATAAGTATGGCTCCACTTATGGTAATAATAAGTAACTTTTCCATAATTAGATATAATTACACATAATTAAATATGATATATTTATATATAATTATATGAAATAGTGGTACACAATTAAGGTGATTAATATATATAAAGATAAATATATATAAATATATAAAAATATCTATATATCTATATATAAAGATTTATATACGATTATATATAATCATATGTAATTAAATATTTTGATATAAGGACATATTCTATATATGGAAAATTTTCTAGACATGCATCATCTGAGACAATTTTTTCAGATATAATACATTTTTCAGATATTGAAGTTCAAACTACAAACTCGCCACACCATGTACTTCATCGTTCGTCCATCACTGGGGAACAAAGTTTGATCAACATTCCGTTCACCAGGGATTCAAATGTTCCAATTCAATATCCATCTGAAGAATCATCTCGTCATCATAGCATTTCTGGCTTTCAATCTACGAATAAATGTGATTCAACACAATCTTCTATATCTTATACTCTTTATTCTGTAAGTTTACAATGAAATATTATATATATATATATATATATATATATATATATATATATATACTCTAC